TAAATTTGAAACGGAAAATATGAGAAAATGTTAGCTGTGGGTCAAGGTTATTTGTGTTTTTAGAATCAACCCTCTAATAGGACTCTCCTAATTCTCCACTCGCCTGTAGATGATAAAAATTACAGTTCAAATTGTTCTGTAGTTTCAAAAATGTTCATATGTGAAAAGTCTAGTAAACCTACATATAACTTAAAGGTATCTGTTTTCTTTATTCTCTTTATATTCGAGCTTAAAATTCAATGTCAGATTCATTTTAATGTTAATACAGCCTTTGACTGTTACCCATATTAATATATTTTTAGTTTGAGATAAATTGCATACTTATACCTAGTAAAGATTAAAATATGACCAACTATCAACGTATTATATATTTCAACAAAAGGGTATATTGTCACAAACAGTTGTTGAACTGAGCAGTTTCTCCCAATAATGGAAGGTAATTACTAGTTTGTGGCAAATGCCACAATATTCAGAAACCTAGTCTCACATTTAGTATAAGCAATTTCCATTCCAGTGGGTTTGCTCACATACTCACATGTACTATATTATGAAGGATTTTAAAGCTAACCCTTTATTTTGTTTCTCCCATAAGTGTGATGTTAAAAAATATGATTTTAGTTTCCATCATGCAGTTTCAGATTTATTTACATACACTGGTGGTTCCACATATTCTTTGGAAATTGAATACTGGCCAGAAAAAAAAAAGGCCATATATTCATATTCATATATATGAATATAGCCATATTCATATGTGTGTGTGTGTGTGTGTGTGTGTGTGTGTGTGTGTGTGTATATATATATATATATATATATATATATATATATATGAATGATATGGAAGGAGAAAGCTAAGTATCAAATAATAAAGGCCAGAAAATTTTTACAAAAGACTGGAAAAGATGATGTTTAGAAAAAAATAGCGTTTGCTTCTACCCTGTGTTTCCCTGAGGCAATTATTGCCTGAATCTCTGTAGAAATTGACAGAGGTCAGCAAATGACATCCTGTAGGCCAAACTGGACCCACTTCCCATTTTTGTAAATAAAGTTTTATTGGAACACAGCCATTCATACTCAGTAATTTCTGTATTATCTACAGCTGCTGTCACATTACAAGGGCAAGTTTAAATAGTGTGACAGAGACTGTCTGGCCCTCAAAACCTAAAACATTTACTATCTTGCCTTTCATAGAAAAGTTTTGCCAACCCTGCACTAAACTCACGGACTAGGCCTGGCCTTTGATCCCCCCTCAGCACACATTAGCAGCACAGGTGATACCTACCAGAACAAGAGCTCAGAAGCCAAAATAGCTAAACACGTAATGAAAGCAATACCTCAGAGAAAGACAAGCTGGACAAGCTGGACAACCTGGCTACGATAAGGAGATAATTTTCATGGAATAAGAACCTAAGATATGTGTTAAAGATAGAGCGATGATTGATGGATAGATGTTGTCAATAAAAAACAAGAATTAAATTTATTTTAAAATGAAGTAGAAAGATTAGGTATGAAAAAGTATGTGTTGATATAAAAGAACAAAGGATGAATCAGTGGTAGATTGGATACACCTGAAGAGTGAATTAGTGAATTGGAGCATTGGATTGAGGAATTTTCCAGGAGACAGCAAGAAAAGCTAAAGTGACCTGGCTTATGGATAAGTACTGAATAGTAAGATCTCCCAAAGAAGGAAAAAAAATAACAGAAAGAAGAAAATATTTGGAGAAATAATGGAGATAGGCTTCCTCTCCTGGTAATATGCCAGGCTGTTATTACCACTAAAAACCACTAAAATTACTAAATTTCAAAATATTGTCTTAAAAGATCAAAGAGCTGACCTGATATGATATTTAGGAATTACCATATAAAATCTAGAAGAAGCTGAGACCCACTCATTAGAATGTGTGCTTCCAGGGGTCCTGTCAGGGAAGTGACACATGGTAAGGACAGGAGGGGAGAGGAAGGAAGAAAAGAGAGATGTGAGGAAAGTATAGCGAAGTGAGGGACAGAGAGAAGAGGAGGGGAGAGGAAGAGGGAAAGGAGGAGAGGGGAGAGGAAGAGAAGGAAAAGGGAGGGAGGGCGAGGAGGGAAGAGAGGAAACGAGGAGAGGGGGAAGGAAGTCAGGAGGAGAAGCCTCTTCTGGAGCAACGTTGCTATGTGTTATAAATTGAAGAGTATGATTAGCCTAAGCTTCTTCACTTGGGGTCTAAAACATGAAAAAAACACAAAAAATTGACATTTAATGAAGTAATGATGGCAAATGTGTACAGACCAGGATAACACATAGTTATAAAAGCTATTTGTTTTAATGTGTGTCCTAACGTTCAAATGAGCTGTATTCTCTAGTTCATGCTTGGACATAAAGATAGAATTTTCCCCTACAGTCTAGTAACATTGCTAAATATCTTCTCTCTTAGAAGCATCTAATTCATGTTTATTGAAAGCTTTCAATAAGTAATCCTTTTCTTAAAATAATTAAGCTTTTGGTGGAAAAGCAAAAATAAGCTAAACTGTTTATGCATGCAGACAGTCTCTGTATGTCTTTATCTTCTTTCATTTTACCTTTTTGGGGGCATCCTTAGTTTTAATATCATGAATCATTGTACCACAGTTTTTGAAACCCAAGGGAGAAACATAAAACAAAGGCCTCATTCCTTGCCTTTCACTAAAACCACTCTCTATATTACCATACTTTAATTTATATATCTATTTATACATAAATTGTAATTTTATGTGTAGGTTTTATCTATAAGTGAATATGTTACTTTAAAGTAATCATGGAAAGCTTCCAGTTATTCAAATAACTACCATTATCTAAATCAGTTTTTGATAATCCTCTTTCAAAATTGTTCAAAAAGTTATTTTATGTACTGAATATATATTTTATGTATATTCCTTAATTTTCCCATATCTTGATTTTAAAATCTAATGTATAAAATATATATTACACAGGATGAATACTCCCCATTCCGTGAAATGAAGATTATACCACAAGCTGTCTGAAGGACCTGACCTCCAAGTATGTAAATGTTTTCTTTCTATTCCTTCCTACCTGAAATGATTGAATTGTGGTGCATTAGTGAAAAAACAACAAGCAGGAAAAAAAACCCAACAAACCCTAATATTCTCTTAAAGTCACACACCATAGCTATGGTTTGTAAAAATTTTTAGTTCTATTTTAATCTGCATATCTTTGTTAGCTAAATTACTCCAATAGTATTAAGATTGTAAATTTTTGGCAGAGAGAGTTTTGAGAAAAGGCTTAAAGATGTCTCTTAAAAGAATAGCTTCCAATGAATGCTTTTAAAAGTTTTCAAGTCCTAAAAATACAGAAATGGTGAAATTTAACTTTCATCTGTTTCCAATTCACTCATTATATATATATATATATATATATATATATATATATATATATATATATATACACATATATATATACTGTATGTGCCATTATATACAGTAGAGGAATATGCAGAAGTGAATGTTCTAACCTAAACAAAGGAACTGCTGATAGCATTTTTAGTATTCAGGTTTTCATAGATGTTTGGGGTTACAGGCTCTGCATCAGTGGACTTGAATTTGTTGCTTGCCCTATTGCTCTTACATTTTATTTATTTTTTAACCTTAAATAAAGAAAGGCAGTAGGAGATTCCTAACCATCTTTTTTCTTTGCCACTATACCCAGGCAAGAAGGAGGAATCAGCCTTGTAATCCGATCTTTCTAGTCTCTGCGTTAAATTTTAAGCTAGAAACCAGGCAACTAAAGACCTAAGATTGGCATAACAGCAGAGGGCAGTATTTACTCATGGTTGAATCGTCTCTGGCTCAGAAAAGTTTTGTATGTGGAGGGGTCACTGTGGCAGAAATGTATGACATATGCCCTATATACTGCATTTGTATTGCTTGGCTTGAATTCTTATTTTCGAATTGGTTTCCCTGATTCTCAGTCACTTCTTTTTTTCTTTTAAAGAAGCGATGCATGCCACCACAAAAATTAGTTACAGTGACTAGCAGGAGAGTTCTGAGTAGAGTACGGCGGGGCACGTGAGCCGTTTTCAAATGTAAAGTTTTCTATTTATTTATATTTTTATCGTATCTATCGTTTCCCCAGACAAAACCAAACCAAAACAAAACTTCGTCAGGATTCCTTTGGCTACAAAATGTCAAGAGGGAAATACTCCAACAGAGATTAAAATTCCAAACTTTGCAACAGGAAAGATCTCCATCTTTCCAAAGGGCTACCATTGTTATTGTTGAAACCCTAAGGTTTGGCTACTGGCACCTGGGATCCATTTGGGAAGGGAAACAAAACAAACACTGAGTTCCCCTGGCTTTTCCTATAGGAAGTCCAAAGTGCGGTTGGTACCGAGGCCTCGGTGCCCCGAGTCACCCGGGAGGCGGGGGAGGGGAAGAGTGGGTGCAGGCTTAGGGCTGAGCCGGCCCTGGAGCGCGGGGAGCTCGCTCCGCAGACCGAGGAGGAATGGGAGGAGACGGTTTGGAAGTCGGATCGCAATACACAGCTCCCTCCCGTCTCATCCAGAGAGGAAACGGTTAAAGCAAATCTGCGCCGCGCATTCCCAGACAGGCTTTGCTTAATCCTTCCTCCCCCTCTAGCAGACCCTCACCCCCCGCCTTTCTTTTCTTTCTCTCGACCCCCTTACCCCTGAGTTATTAGGAGCATAACAACCGAACAGCCTTCCCCCCAGACCCCGCCACTGAAGTTATTTATCTGCAAACCTGACCTCACTCCCATCTATTCTGTGGCAGCCTTTTGCTGTTATTGCTCTGACGCCGGCCAAGATTTGACCAAAAAGGAAAAAAAAAAAATCCCCCCCTTCTCAACGCCTCCGACTCGCGGGGCTCCCACAGCCGACCACCTCCAGTCCCCCCGGAGGCCGGAGTGATGAGCGTCCCGAGCAGCCAGTCGGCGGCCGAGGCGGCCGGGGCGTGCCGGCGGAGGGGAGCGCGGGGCCGAGGGGGCCGGGCGGGCGGGGGCGGGGCGGTAGGTGACAGGCCCGAGCCGGGGGCGTCCGCGCGCGCGCCGGCGCGGATCCACAAGCGGCGAGCGCAGTTTCGGAGCCCGGCGCGGCTCGCGGTCCTCCCGCCCCCTCGGTTTGAGTTTCGGTGGCGCGCTGGGCGTGTGCGTGTGCGCGCGCGCGTGCGCGTGCGGCGGCGAAGGGGCGGGGCGAGCGAGGGACCCGCTGCCGCCGAGAGGGGCTCCGGCGCTCCGGCTCCGCAGTCGCACAACCCTCAGCCCGGCGGGCGCGGAGCGGAGCGCTGACAGGCGCCGTCCCGAGCCGCCGCGGGCGCAGCCCCAGCCCGGCGCCGGCGTCCCCGCCTCCTCCTCCGCCGACGGCGAAGGAGAAAGGGGACCGGCCGCCCCCCAGTCTAAAGCCTTGCGGATTACAAAGTGAAACTGACCCGGGACAATAAAATCAAAGCTAAGCAGGGCAGGGGCGAGGCTCCCTGCAGTGGGCTTCCGACGGGGCCGCCGGAGCACGGTCCCCGCGGCATGCTAAGGGGAGGGGACGCGGGGACCGCACGCCTCTGCCGCCCGACCCCCGCGAGGCCGAGAAGAAAGGGAGACCTGCGCCCGCTGTGGATGTACAAACATGGGTCGGCGGGCGCCCGGGCGGAGGTAAACTGAAACATGCCGAGGAGCGCTGCACGGTGCCCGCGCCCGCAGCAGGGCCGGGGGCGGCGGCTGCCGGAGCAGGAGGACGCGGCTGAGCGCTCGCGGGCACCGGAGCCCTAGCGCCCGCGCCGGGAACGCGGTTCGCCCGCCGCCCGCGAGCCGCCGCCGCCTGGGCCTCGGCGGCCGCTCCTGCCGCCCCTATTCCTGAGTGGGGACTGGAGGAGACCCCAGGTCTCCAGCTCTGGGGGAAGGAACTCGCCGACCTCCCGGCTCCATCCCGCCGCTCCCGGTGCTCAGTTGTCCTTCCCGCCCCAGTTGCTTGGCCGCCGGTAAGTTCCAAAGTTTCTGAAGTCGAGCGAGGTTTGCAGTGGTCGCTGATACACCTTAAAGACGGGCCACTTCTCGCAGCTCACATCCACCCGGGCGAAAACGCTCAGACTTTCCAGATTCTGAAACAACGTGAAGGGGGAACTAGAGGAGGTTTGAGAAACTTTCCTGGAACTAACTCATCAGCGCACAGGAGCGTCCCGCGGAATGCCCTGCCGCCTTGGGTCCCCGCATCTCTCTGGCACGAAGTGTCCAAATGGCTACCTGGAACCGTTCGCTGAGGCCACTTGCTTCTGCTGGGCTGGCGGTTCTTTGATATAGCAGAGCGCTCAGACAGGGCCATCGGCTGCATACTGGCTGGAACTGCTGAATCCCGGTCACCAGCGTGCTTTGCCTCCCCTCTTCCTTCTCTTGACCACACCGTTCCCGGGAGCCAGGACCATGGACGTGGCCGCAGGTCGGGCTCCTGGCCGCCCGTGGCTCGCGCTGCCCACCCCCTCAGCACTCCAGCTCCTTCGCGTCTTGGGGCTGCTGTCCTTGCTCCCTGGGCCGGCCCGGGTCGGCGGGGCCGAGCAGCGCCAGGTGTTCCAAGTGCTGGAGGAGCAGCCCCCAGGCACACTGGTGGGCACCATCCAGACGCGCCCCGGCTTCACCTACCGGCTCAGCGAAAGCCACGCCCTGTTTGCCATAAACAGCAGCACGGGGACCCTGTACACCACCGCCACCATCGACCGCGAGAGCCTGCCCAGTGACGTGATCAACCTGGTGGTCCTTTCCAGCTCGCCCACCTACCCCACCGAGGTGCGAGTGCTGGTGTGGGACCTGAATGACAACGCCCCCGTCTTTCCGGACCCCTCGATCGTGGTCACTTTCAAGGAGGACAGTAGCAGCGGGCGCCAAGTCATCTTGGATACGGCCACCGACTCGGACATCGGCTCCAATGGCGTGGACCACCGCTCCTACCGCATCATCCAGGGCAACGAGGCGGGTCGCTTCCGCCTGGATATCACCCTGAACCCCAGCGGTGAGGGCGCCTTCCTGCATCTGGTGTCCAAGGGCGGGCTGGACCGCGAGGTCACGCCGCAGTACCAGCTACTTGTGGAGGTGGAGGACAAGGGCGAGCCCAAGCGGCGGGGCTACCTCCAGGTGAACGTGACTGTGCAAGACATTAACGACAACCCCCCGGTGTTTGGCAGTTCCCACTACCAGGCGGGGGTGCCTGAGGACGCGGCGGTGGGCTCCAGCGTCCTCCAGGTGGCGGCGGCGGACGCGGACGAGGGCACCAACGCGGACATCCGCTATCGGCTGCAGGACGAGGGGACCCCCTTCCAAATAGACCCCGAAACGGGGCTTATCACGGTGCGGGAGCCCCTGGACTTTGAGGCCCGGCGCCAGTACTCGCTGACGGTGCAGGCTCTGGACCGAGGCGTGCCTTCCCTGACCGGGCGCGCAGGGGCGCTGATTCAGCTGCTGGATGTCAACGACAACGACCCCGTGGTGAAATTCCGCTACTTCCCTGCCACCTCGCGCTACGCCTCGGTGGATGAGAACGCGCAGGTGGGCACAGTGGTGGCTCTGCTCACCGTGACGGACGCAGACTCCCCCGCGGCCAACGGGAACATCTCTGTGCAGATTCTTGGGGGCAACGAGCAGCGCCACTTTGAGGTGCAGAGCAGCAAAGTGCCCAACCTGAGCCTCATCAAGGTGGCCAGTGCCCTGGACCGCGAGCGTATCCCTTCTTACAACCTGACAGTTTCCGTCTCGGATAACTACGGGGCGCCCCCTGCCGCCGCGGCCCAGGCACGCTCCTCTGTGGCGAGCCTGGTGATTTTCGTCAATGACATCAACGACCACCCCCCTGTCTTCGCACAGCAAGTGTACAGAGTGAACCTGAGCGAGGAGGCGCCCCCGGGAAGCTATGTGAGTGGAGTGTCGGCCACCGATGGCGACTCCGGCCTCAATGCTAATCTGCGTTACAGCATCGTCTCTGGCAATGGACTAGGCTGGTTCCATATCAGTGAACACAGCGGCCTGGTGACCACCGGGGCCGCTGGGGGCTTGGACCGTGAACTTGCATCCCAGATTGTACTGAATATCAGTGCTCGGGACCAGGGCGTGCACCCCAAGGTTTCCTACGCCCAGCTGGTAGTAACTCTCCTGGACGTGAATGATGAAAAGCCGGTGTTTAGCCAGCCAGAGGGGTATGATGTGTCTGTGGTGGAGAATGCCCCAACAGGGACAGAACTATTGGTGCTCGGGGTGACTGATGGGGACCTGGGTGACAATGGGACAGTGCGCTTCTCCCTACAGGAGGCTGAGACTGACCAGAGGTCCTTCCGTCTGGATCCGGTGTCTGGGAGGCTGAGCACTGTCTCCTCCTTGGACAGAGAGGAGCAAGCTTTCTACTCCCTGTTGGTCCTGGCCACGGACCTGGGCTCCCCTCCCCAGTCCTCAGTGGCTCGCATAAACGTCAGTCTCCTGGATGTGAATGACAACAGCCCTGTGTTCTACCCAGTCCAGTACTTTGCTCATATTCAGGAGAACGAGCCTGGAGGTAGCTACATCACCACAGTGTCTGCCACTGACCCCGACCTGGGTCTCAATGGAACTGTCAAATACAGTATATCAGCTGGGGACAGGTCTCGGTTTCAGGTTAATGCTCAGAGCGGGGTGATTTCTACAAGAATGGCCCTAGACAGAGAAGAAAAAACAACTTACCAGTTGCAAATAGTGGCTACTGATGGTGGCAATTTACAGTCTCCCAACCAGGCGATAGTGACCATTACTGTGCTGGACACTCAGGACAATCCACCTGTGTTCAGCCAGGCTGCCTACAGCTTCGTGGTCTTTGAGAATGTGGCTCTGGGATATCATGTGGGTAGTGTGTCTGCATCCACCATGGACCTCAATTCCAACATCAGTTATCTCATTACTACTGGGGATCAGAAAGGTATGTTTGCTATCAACCAGGTCACTGGGCAGCTTACCACAGCAAGTGTGATTGACAGAGAAGAGCAATCCTTTTATCGGCTGAAAGTAGTGGCCAGTGGGGGCACGGTGACTGGAGATGCTCTGGTTAACATAACAGTTAAGGATTTGAATGACAACTCTCCCCATTTCCTTCAGGCAGTAGAGAGTGTGAATGTGGTGGAGAATTGGCAGGCAGGCCACAGCATTTTCCAAGCCAAAGCTGTGGACCCTGATGAAGGTGTCAATGGCATGGTGCTCTATAGCCTGAAGCAAAATCCCAAGAACCTGTTCACTATCAATGAAAAGAATGGTAGCATTAGTCTGCTAGGGCCCCTGGATGTCCACGCTGGTTCCTACCAGATAGAGATCCTGGCATCTGATATGGGCGTCCCACAGCTCTCCTCTAGTTTCATCTTAACAGTGTATGTCCACGATGTAAATGACAACCCACCAGTGTTTGACCAGCTCTCTTATGAGGTCACCCTTTCTGAGTCAGAACCTGTGAATTCTCGATTCTTTAAAGTGCGAGCTTTTGATAAGGATTCAGGAGCGAATGGTGAAATTGCATACAGCATTGCTGAAGGAAATACAGGGGATGCTTTTGGCATATTCCCAGATGGTCAATTGTATATTAAAAGTGAACTGGACCGTGAACTTCAAGACAGATATGTTTTACTGGTTGTTGCTTCTGACAGAGCAGTGGAACCCCTTAGTGCTACTGTGAATGTTACTGTAATTCTAGAAGATGTAAATGATAACAGGCCTCTTTTTAACAGTACCAATTACACATTTTACTTTGAAGAGGAGCAGAAATCTGGGTCATTTGTGGGCAAAGTAAGTGCTGTAGATAAAGACTTTGGGCCCAATGGAGAAGTGAGGTATTCTTTTGAAATGGTGCAGCCCGAGTTTGAGTTGCATGCTGTTAGTGGGGAGATTACAAATACTCATCAGTTTGACAGGGAGTCTCTTATGAGGCGCAGAGGGACTGCAGTGTTTAGCTTCACAGTCATTGCAACAGATCAGGGGCTCCCACAGCCTCTCAAGGATCAGGCCACAGTACATGTTTACATGAAGGATATAAATGATAATGCTCCCAAATTTGTGAAGGACTTTTACCAAGCTACAATATCTGAGTCGGCAGCCAACCTGACACAGGTATTAAGAGTGTCTGCCTCAGATGTTGATGAAGGTAATAATGGACTCATTCATTATTCTGTAATAAAAGGAAATGAAGAAAGACAGTTTGCTGTAGACAGCACTTCTGGTCAGGTGACACTAATTGGGAAATTAGACTATGAAGCCACACCTGCCTATTCCCTGGTGATTCAAGCAGTGGATTCAGGGGCAGTCTCCCTCAATTCAACCTGTACTTTAAATATTGCTATTTTAGATGAAAATGACAATACCCCTTCTTTCCCTAAATCAACACTATTTGTTGATGTTTTGGAAAACATGAGAATTGGTGAACTCGTGTCCTCTGTAACTGCAACTGATTCTGATTCGGGTGACAATGCTGATTTACACTACAGTATTACTGGGACTAACAACCATGGAACTTTTAGCATTAGCCCAAACACTGGGAGTATTTTTCTGGCCAAAAAATTGGACTTTGAAACACAGTCTTTGTACAAATTAAATATAACAGCCAAAGACCAAGGAAGGCCTCCTCGTTCATCGACAATGTCAGTGGTGATACATGTGAGGGACTTCAATGACAACCCACCTAGCTTTCCTCCGGGAGATATTTTCAAGTCTATTGTTGAGAACATTCCCATTGGAACGTCTGTCATTTCAGTGACTGCCCATGACCCCGATGCGGACATTAATGGGCAGCTATCCTATGCAATCATTCAGCAGATGCCAAGGGGCAACCACTTCAGCATAGATGAAGTCAAGGGCACTATATATACTAATGCTGAAATAGATCGGGAATTTGCGAATCTCTTTGAGTTAACTGTAAAAGCCAATGATCAAGCTGTGCCTATGGAAACTAGACGGTATGCTTTGAAAAATGTGACCATTTTGGTTACGGACCTCAATGACAATGTCCCAATGTTTATATCACAAAATGCCCTTGCTGCAGACCCCTCAGCTGTGATTGGTTCTGTTCTGACGACCATCATGGCTGCTGACCCAGATGAAGGTGCTAATGGGGAGGTGGAGTATGAGATCATCAATGGGGATACAGACACCTTCGTTGTGGATCGTTTCAGTGGAGACCTGAGAGTGGCGTCAGCGCTGGTGCCTTCACAGCTCATCTATAACCTCATAGTTTCAGCAACAGACCTTGGCCCTGAAAGGAGGAAATCAACCACTGAATTGACTGTCATTCTTCAGGGCCTTGATGGACCCGTGTTTACTCAACCCAAATATATAACTATTTTGAAGGAAGGAGAACCCATTGGCACCAATGTAATATCAATAGAAGCAGCCAGCCCTAGAGGATCGGAAGCCCCAGTGGAGTATTATATTGTTTCAGTGCGTTGTGAAGAAAAAACCGTGGGACGTCTCTTTACTATTGGACGACAGACTGGCATAATTCAGACCGCAGCCATTCTGGACCGGGAGCAAGGAGCATGTCTTTACCTGGTGGAGGTTTATGCCATAGAAAAATCAACTGCTTTTCCCAGAACACAGAGAGCAGAGGTAATGATTTTGTAGTCATTTATTTATTATTTGTTGGTGTGCTTTTTAGAAAGGTCATTCTCTTTATATTTGCCTTCTGTAATTATTTACCTTTGTTGTTGATTATTAATTTTACTGATGGAAGTATATAAAAATGTTCTGGCACAAAGACTAACAAGAATTACATAAAATTTAGCTTTAATCCTGGTCAAAACTAAATAGTGGACAGGTTTTACTCTATTTTACTTCATAGCAATTGTATGAATAAGGCTAGGGAGAAGTCTTTAGCCATTTCAGAAGTGCAAAAAAAAAAATGCCATGTCCATTTATTTAAGCTAAATCACTGCATTAAACTAAACACAGTAAGGAAGCCTACAGGAGGATAGGCAATTGCAGACTATTTCCGTCCCAAAATGAAGAACTTTGGTGGGAATCAGCATTTCAGCATGGCTTCCTAGGGGGCGTGGCAATGGAGGGCAGACTGACAGCTTACAACAGGGCAGTATCAACTTTCACATCCTCAGCAGTCTTGGCAGTTTCCTTACAGACAGTGACTAATTTCAATGTGCCAAGCCAAGTTTGGGGAGATTCCTGATTTCATCTGCCTTCACATTTTAGGCACTATCTTCTGGCTTAAGGTAGTCCTTTCCCTTCCCTCTTGAACTAAAGCATGTAATTGCTGTGAATGATCAGAGATTAGAAGCTGTTTCTTGAGACAAAACTGTATTGTTCAATACCGTGGTATAGGCCCATGTTGTCCTGTCTGCTGACGGGGAAGGAGTTAGTGTTTCATAGCATAAGCAGAAAGAATTCCAAGTGGGCCTTCCCTGGGGCGTATTTTAGGCTACTACCTCCATGTATCATTGATTTGTTTTTAATTGAACTCCTTCCAATGCTGTCCTAATATCAACCAGAAATAAGATAGCTATACTCTGGAAAGCTCTTGTTTGCCTTTTTCTAAGTTCTTTCTCTCCCCCCCCCCACCACCCCAAAGACATTCTAGTGTCACTCAGCCCAAAACACAAAATATCGAATGTGGTTTGTGATGCTTGGCGGGAACCCAGACACAACAGGCAAGTGAGACTGAGCCTCATGTCCTTGTTTTCTTGCTTTCTTTTCTACAGCGGGTGCCAAAAACATGTATACACAGTTTAAGAAAGGAAAAATCTGTATCAAAATTGTAATACTCAATATATACCGATAACAAAAGATGAATACAAGTCATGTGTATACATTTTTGGCACCCCTGGTATTTGGGGGAGGTGAGCGGTTTTCTTCTTTTAAAATGCTCATTTATTGTTATTATCTTTTTGAATCCCTGTGATTTCCCCCCCCTCATAGCTAGTTATGTCTGTTCTATGGAGGGAGCCTTATATTTATGGCCTATAGGATATTAGGGGTATAATTAGAGATGTAATTCTTAGTAGAGATAATTCTAAATGGAGTTCAGTTTTATCTTTTATATAGCCCTGAAGGGACTTCTAACCCAACTGCTCTCTTTTACCTGTTTTTTTAGATCTTACAATAGGTCTTATATATTGCACTTAGGCCATGATTTACATGTAACTTTATTTTGATTTGGTGTTTCCCTCCCTTAAACCCACTCTACTTTCCTTCTCTGGAATTATTTCATAGATGAACAGATTTAATAAGTTGAAAACTGAAATATTTATTAAAGACAGGCAATTAAATAATTCTAGATTTAAGATGAATTTGTTAAACTGTAAAACAAATTATGTTATCGGTTGTTGACTGGCTCAGTGCATTACATTTTTCTAGAGAATATGGAGATTGAGAATAAATGCCCATTATAATCATTAGGAGGTTTATTTTATCTTGTTATTTACTCAGTGGATATGCGAAAATTGACTTAGCTTAAATTTATTAAATAGTGCTGTCTCTGCTAATAGGCCTGCAGATTAAAAAATAATTATAAATCATTTTGTTTATGATAGGGGATGATATGTCTGTTACTTTTTTTAACCTCAATACCCATATGAAAAGTTATTCATATTTACGTACCATATTTATTTAAAAATCTGGGGAGAAATCATTATGATGATTTTTTTTTATAAGAAAAAATTGTTTGTCAGGGTATCTTCTGTGAACTAAAGTGCTGAAATTGTAAACCAAGTTTGAGTTCCCAAGGTCCAACCACTCTTTAAATTAAAAGCAAATGTGTTTTCCCAAAGAATATTGAAAGCAGTAGTTGGGAGCTAGAATTTCATATTATTATTGGTTGTATCTTTTAAGTATATACAGTAAAGTACTTTTTTCCTTCTGCTCAAACAATTAATTTACCGTGATTCTGCAAAAAGAAGTTATAAATTACTTCTGGTTGTCATAGGTGATTTTTCAATAGCTTGTTTCCAAGTGCAAACTTTGCTCCAATGCGTTTTTTAAAAACTTATTCACGTGCACTGATAGGAGTCTGGGTTGCTTACTCAGGTTTCTGGCTGGAGTCATGGCCGATCACATTCCAGTGGTCAAGTGGAGGGTCAGTGGGTAAAAGAGAAATGATTTAATCTGCACTCTTTTTGCAGCTCTGACATTTGTGGGACTGTGGCTCTGATATTCCTGCAGAGATCTGTCCAGTTGTGCACCTTCATTTACCCTACCTCGTCTTTGGCATGGATAGGCATGTCTGAAGGATGGCTTTTGGGATGCAGACACAAGGTTTATTATCCTTCTATTGCATGGCCTTATATGATCACAAGAGTCTTGACTGTGATAGAATAGCTCATATAAATTTTGTTGAATTTTTCTAGGTTCAACAAAAAATGAATATGTAATATTTTATTTAATGTGTGTTGTAAGGGAACATGCAGCTTAGGGACCGGTGGAACTTCGTCAAGGTCAGGGGCTTTGTTTCATTGCTCTTCATTATCTCAGACCCTAGTGTCACCTGAGGTACAGTAGGTGCTCTGTGCGTGTTTGCTGAATGAGGTGGTAGAAGAGCTAAGACCGGAATGTGTGTTCCAGTGCCTCAGAAATAAATTAACAGAGAGAAGCTGGAGGAATGGAGGAAGCTAGTAGATTTGGTCTTGATCATTGATTGAACTAAGAACATAAGGACATACCAATTATCTCAGCTGTACAAATGACTTGAGGATTGTCAGAAAACTCAAAGAGGAAAGAAGCGTTAAGGTGGGTGGAAGGAAATACTGTAGGTGTGTCCAGGTGGCAGCTCTCAAATTGGTTGGTCTCAGGATCCCCTTCCAAGATGAGAAATTGTCACGGACCCCAAAGAGCTTTTGCTTAGGTGTGTCTTATCTATAGATATTTATCATTTTGAGCATTAAAATTGAGAAAAATTTAAAATATTTATTCATTTAAAAAGCACATTGAATATGTAACATTTTCATTTTATTGTTATAAATAAAACTTTACTTTGTCAAACTGAAAAAATAATGAAAAGAGAGACATTACTTTACTTTTTCATAAATCTAGTATCTGGCTTAAGAGAAGACAACTGGATTCTCAAATATCATTCAGACTATTGCAATATGTTGTTTTGGTTACAGTATGTGAAAAGAATCCATCCTCACTCAGGCATATATGGAGTTGGATAAGGGAGATACTTTGATATCTTTTTTAGGTAACTGTCAGTTTTCTTTTGATACTACACCAAAACCCCACAAGTGGTATGTTTTTAAAATGTACTTGCCCTGGTGAATCTGAAACCCTGTTGGTAAACTTCTCATACTTCGTTATATAAAAATATATTGATCTATCTTGCATTCTAAATGGGTCTTTTGCCTATGCATGACTTAGAAATAACAGTTATTGGTTATTTGGAAAATAACTGATAAGGATTTTATCAAAATAACTGATAAGGATTTTATAAAAAAATGTCTTTAAGTATATTGGCTCTCAACCTCATGGTGATGGTTAGAGTTTTCAAAATTTGAATTTTCATTTGATGGCTCAACTTTTATCATTAATGACCTATCTTGTTAGTTGTTTACCTTGAAATATCAGGCTTCGTTTGTTTATGTGCAAACAATAACAAAAAATGGCTGCCACACACTAAGGTGTAAAAAAGCAAAGTTTCTCTGTCAGTTGTTCTTCCCAGTAAAGATCATCTTCCAGAAACAAAGCAGCTAGTTCAGCTCGCAACTCAATCACACACATACTTTTCTTCGAGACAGCTGCAGTGTTTAGGACAGGTTAATGGTTCTTTGAAAAGACATCGAGATTTAAAGGTCTAGAATGAATAAAATTAATAATTGTACTATTTCTTCAAGGAAATGTCCTCAGTTTTTAAGTGAAACTGGCCCTTTGTTTGTACTGAGTGCCTAGCACTGAAGAATTCAATTATTGCTAGAAGACTTTGCAGCTAGTACCACTGTGATCTGTGCTGAGGCACCAGCAGTTTGCCCACCATTGTGTTTGCACCTCTAGTCTCAATGTAAACACCGTAAAAAAGACAACGGATGTTTTGCATTATTATGACACAGTGTTGATTTCCCAGGTCTCTTTAATGGCGCTCTGGCACAAGAAGCCCATGTCTCACCGTGGGAGAAATGTGGGTCTAGGCACTGAGTTTTGCAATTCAGTAAAAAAAAAAAAAAAAAAAAAAAGCCACTAGCAATATTCTATTAACAGTGTGTTTAGAATAATAGGTGAACGTACTATGATTCATTAAATATCAGAAGTGAGTTTTGGCACTTGGATAATAATTTATTTTCACAATGAAGCTATCAAGATTCCCAAGAGATATGATGGAAACATTTGTAAGATCAGCGCTACCAAGTTTGGAAATGATTTTCTATCAGAGGGTTTAGAGTCAGAGTTAGTGCAACTTAGATTAAATGTGTCTCTTGTGTGTCATCGCTCACAGGCAAATATATAAGCAACCGAGCTGGGTATACATCAAGAGTAATAATAATAACAATGAAAATGTATTAAGTATTGCTGCAGTCAGTCACTGAGCGAAGTGCTAAGCACTTTGTAAGGGATTTTATCACTTGAACCTCCGAACGACACTAGTAGTATTAGTCCCACTTCATAGCCATGGA